CTCTCTCTCTCTCTCTCTCTCTCTCTCTCTCTCTCTCTCATGCTGGGATTAAATGCATGCCCAATTTACCTATTTAGAAAAGGCCTTAGCATGTAGCCCAGTCTGGCCTGAACTCAGGGTTCTGCTGAGATTACAGACAGTAATCCCTAGTGTTGTGATTACAGGTGTGTACCGTCATACCAGACTGATTTGATTTCTTCCTTTAAAACAGTTTTTATTACTCAGCTGTCTAGAAACAATTTCAAGTTTTATACCAGAAAAAAATTACTTCAGATGTTAATTGACATGTTAGAGATTTTATTCAATGTAACTTTATTATAAAATGTTCTGGGTGGGAGAGATTTTGAGATAGTTTCACTGTGTGCCCTACACTGTTGATCCTCCTACTTCAGCCTCCTTAGTGCTGAGATTACAAGTATGGACTACCATGTCTGCCTAAAAATTGGCTCTTAAACCCTTTATTCATCAGAGTCAATTCAATTCCAAATACATAGGGAGTTGTGTGCACCTTAGTGATAGAGTGATGCCTAGTATGGTCAGAGCCCTGAGGTCCCCAACACTGCCAAAAAATTAAAAAACAAACAAAAAGCAAAAAGCTTTAAAAAAAGTAAAACAAAGAGACTAATAATAGAGTCTGTTATAGTTAACACAGAAGGTAGGGATATCAAGATGACTCAGTGGATAAAAGTTCAACTAGGGAACCGAGTTCAATCTTGGGAACCTATGTAGCAAAGGCTCCATACTGAGACTATCTAAAAAAAAATAGACTTCAATTTTCTTCTTTTGCAATTATTTTGTCTATGTTAGTGTTTGGCCTGCACGTGTATATATAAAGAAGCCAGAAGAAGCTGCTGGATCCCTTGGAACTTGGTATCCAGAGTTACAGATGGCTGTGTGCCACCATATGGGTGCCTGCAACTGAATTCAGGTCCTCTAGAAGAATAGGTGCTCATAACCACTGAGCCATCCATCCCTCTAGCCCAAGCCAATAGGCTTTGTGAACGAGACAATAATAGATACTACTACCAGATGCATGAATCTTAGGGCATTATACTTAGTGAAGGAAGCCAGAGCTGCCTGACTCTGCACTAGGGTTATGGATGATGACCTCTGTGTCCAGTGTTCTATAATGCTGGGAGTCCAAACTAAGGCCTCCATGCTTGTGTGGCAAGGACTTTACACACGGACCCACCATCCCAACCCTGAGTAGTGCACATTGAATCAGTTATCCCATATTGTCCTCTCCTATCTCCTACATGAATTGTCTACTTTAAAGGGGTGAGCCATGTGGTGCATTTTTTATGTAAAGCAATGTCTTAAGTTGGTTTGATCTCTTGATCCCCCTGCCTCAGCCTCCCAAGTGCTGAGATTATAGAGATGGGCCAGTACACACAGAAATAAAGTTAAACATTTAAAAGTAGGCCTTCCATAATTTCTGACTGAATTTGCCTAACATTTAGAATGGACAAATAGGGCTGGGCTGTAACTGGGTGGTAGAATACTTACCTAGAATTGATGAGGCCAGGTTTGATCCCTATCACTACAGAAAAGTAAAAAAGTAAAAAAAGGCCACATTGACAAACAGTGTAAGAAAACCAATATAGTTTTTGAATGAGAAAACCTACCAGAAATCAGGAATTTGCCATTAAAATATGGCTATCTTTAAGTAATTTAGTTCATATTACTTCCCTTGAGATAGTGTTCCCACTCCCTCAGCTTCCTTGCAGTGAATTGCTCTTTAAAACAGTACAGAAGACCTTCCGCTGATAAAGTGGCCTTTCTTCCACTTGTGTGCTATGAATACTCATCAGAGCTTTCAGTAGTTTCCACTATGAGAGAAGAGAGACAAATTCTTTTTTTTTTTTTTTTTTTTTTTTTTCAGAGCTGAGGACCGAACCCAGGGCCTTGCGCTTGTTAGGCAAGCGCTCTACCACTGAGCTAAATCCCCAACCCCTGAGAGACAAATTCTTTGCCCTTGCTAGATCAAGCATAGTTAGGGACTATGCTTACCTAGTTAGGTTACCTTGTTGTTTCTATTTTATTATTAGAGTTTATTATCCTTCTGATAATTAACATTTCACTGCTTGATAAATTAAGCATTGTGTATATACATTTTCAGGTTCAGAATATTTTGAAAATCTTTGCTATATTTCCAAAAGTTATGGCTCTAATAGTGGTTACATCATTATAAAGCAAATAAACATATCTGCCTCTTTGCAGGTTTTTCTATTGTGATAATGTCCATCTGGCCATATCTTCAAAAGGTTTGTGCATTTCAGTCTGTTTTTTGAACTAATAGTAGAGGTAACTCTAATGTTATTAAGTGTTGTCTAACGAGTGTCTTTAATATTCTGTAGTTTGATCTGTTTTAGAATAACTTAAAATAATAGTGCCTCAATGGCAGTATAAGTTGGCCATATGCTTTATTGTAAAAACAGAAACATTTAAAGCAGGAAAGGTGCTGTGCCAAGAAATAGACAACTGCCTGGAGAGTAGCAGACAGTGAAGGTGTGGTTACCGACTTACTCAGCTATATTCACATCTTGTCACTACCTCCCTAGGGAGGAGCAGCCCAAGCAGACAAGTGCATTCTTAAAATGTACAGATGATATTTCTAAGGAATAATTTCATGATTTCCCCGTGGAATTAATTTATGTTTTCAGGAAAACTTGTGAAAAGGATAGGCAATATAGCTATCTCTTGATATTCCTGGGAGATTGGTTTTTAGGTTCCCCCAAAGTGTACCAGAATGTCTGGATGTGCAAGTCTGTTACATAATGTGATGTAGTGTTTGCATATAGTATGTACACATTCAGATGTATGCTGTACTCATCTCTAGGTTACATATGATGCCTAGCACAATGCCCGCTATATAGTGGCTAAACTGCTCTGTCCTAGAACAGTGACAAGAAAAGAGAGTCTGTTCAGTTGAGTTCGTCCTTCATGCGTGAAGATCAGGACTTACACTGTCCTCTCCTGCACCTGAAATTCTTAGCCTCTTTGTGCCAACTTTGGTCTTAACACTGATTACTTAGCCTTAAATTCTCCCTATCTTTATCAGCTCACTCTTTGCTTACTGATTTCCCAGAGATCCATGTGTGTTAGGCTTTGGCTTATAGCAGATAAGTAGACAGCAATGTGTTTAACTTACTTTGGTGACACAGGCTCTGCAGGGCTGCACACAGTCATCCCAGCTCCTTTTTAGCTCCTCTCCTCTCCTTCCTTCCTGTGTCTGCCTTCCCCTCTCCCCCCTTTCTTCTTTCTATCTTTTGTTTACCCTTCACACTCTGCACTTCTCATGTTCTCCAGAAAGCTTTCTCTGGTTGTCATCACCCAGTTTGGGCCAGAAAACATGTGTATAGTTGTTCCTCCTCATCTTTGAAGCTGCATCCAAAAATTCAAGAAACCATGGCTTGGAAATATCACTCCCTAAACTGTACTGTATGGCAGCTGTGTTTGCATTGTAGTATGCATTATAAGTGATCAGAGATGACTTACACCTGTAGAGGTATGTGTAGTTGGTTTGCAAACATGTTCTATGTGAAGGGCTTGTGTATACACTCATTTTGGTGTCGTCTGGTGTCCTGGAGCCAATTCTGAGGACACAAAGGGATGACACCACTTCATATCTGTATCCTTAGTACTTACCATTAGTATGATGTTGGGTGTACAGTGATAAACTCCCCCATGATTGTTGCCTGTTCAGAAGTTCTCCACAGAAATACTAACCCACAAAGGTTCTGGTAAGAATGTAGGTCGTTCAGCCACTCTACAATACAGCCTGGATATTTGTCACAAGCTAAATATGGTTTTACTAAGTGAACTAGCAGCCATGTTCCCAGGTACTTAGTTCCCAGTGTCTGAGACTTACATGCGTGTACAAATCTGCCTTAGAATGTTTGTGACTACCAGAAGCCAAAGACTGCTGTTGTGTGATGACTCTCAGAGCATTCACTTCTCTCTGCAGATCGATCGGACAGCTGATGCGAGCTTTCTGGGCTGGGTTATTGCTTCATACAGTCTCGGCCAAATGGTAGCTTCACCTCTGTTTGGCTTATGGTCTAATTATAGACCAAGGAAAGAGCCCCTTATCGTCTCCATCTCCATTTCGGTGGCAGCCAACTGCCTATATGCATATGTCCACGTGCCAGCTGCTCATAATAAATACTACATGTTGATTGCTCGTGGAATGGTGGGATTTGGAGCAGGTAACTGTGTGTGCATGTGTTTGTGTGTGTTATGTCACATTCTTCCTGCTGTTAATAGCCATGTCTCCCTTCTCAGTCTTAGATCCCTGGTTCAGCAAACTCTGCCTGGCCATGTTCCTCCTCCTAATACGTGTATATTCACTGGTATTCACCCTCAGGGCACACATTAACTGCTACGTGTAGTGTGGAGCCTTCTCAGGCTTCTTGAATGCATGCTTTTCTATTTTTGGCCTTTTCTTGCCGTATTGTATTGGTTCCGTCTTTCCCCACCAGTTATAGTAAGGTTTTGGGTTTTTTTTTTTTTTTGCATTAGAAGTAGTAAATGATATTTTAAATGTTCTGTTCTTTGGTTCCTAGCAGAGTCTTTACTATAAAATAAGTGATCAATACATTTTTTTTTTTTGAGTCAGGGTTTCTCTGTATAGTCCTGGCTGTCCTGGAACTCACTCTGTAGACCAGGCTGGCCTCGAACTCAGAAATCTGACTGCCTCTGCCTCCCAAGTGCTGGGATTAAAGGCATGCGCCACCACTGCCCGGCGATCAATACATTTTGAAAACTTTTATTTTATTATGTATGTCTGAAAATTTGCAAGTGTGAGTACCCTCAGAGGCCAGCAGATGGCACTCAATTCCCCGGAGCTGGAATTACAAGTGCTTGTGAGGTGTCCCAAGTGGGTGCTAGGAACTGAGCTCAAGTGTGCTCCAAAGAGAGCAGTGTGAGTGCCTAACCACTGAGCCCTCTCCAGCCAAGAGTGTTTTACTTAAATTCTTAGTGCAGGTTTTCTGTTTCTGTATTATATATCTATGCAATTTGGGACACGTTTCCTTATAGCATAGCAGTCTGCCATTAATGTGCAGCTGCCTATTATTTGATAAGATCTTGGTATTGTATGTCATTTTACATTATCTAGAACTGTGTCTTTAGTCCTATGGGTGGCTTGTTTTATTTTGATTCTTGTTTTGTTGGTGGTTGGTTTTGAGACAAGGTCTCTCTGTATACCTAAGGCTGGCCTAGAACTCTATGTGGTCTAGGCTGACCTCTGTCTCCCAGTTGCTGGGATTACAGATGTGCACCCCCTAGCCTAGCTGCATTGTTTCTGTATCAGGGACAATACTGTGTTTCATTAGTTATGTTTGTTCAATCAAAATCTCACACATTTTGTTTGGTGGCGCAGAAGGGACCATGATATTCATTAGTATTTCTTGCTCTGGGTAAAGCCGGGTGAGGTAAGCGTTAGAGCTGAAGGCCGATTCTTTCCCTTTATTCTTTCTGTAGGAAATGTAGCTGTTGTCCGATCATACATTGCTGGTGCTACTTCCCTTCAGGAAAGAACAAACGCCATGGCTAATACGAGCACATGCCAAGCCCTGGGCTTTATTCTGGGTCCAGGTAGGTGGTTTTTATGTGACTATTTAAATTTGAATCAGGATAACCTTTGAGGTTCAAATTTAAATGTAATCTACGTGTAAGACTTTGTGGCTAAAGGGGAAAGGAGAGAAACTTTAAAAAGGAAGGAGGGAGCCAAGGAAGTAAGAGGGGTTAATATGAGCAGAGTACAGCGAGTGATACAGATACATAAAATACAACGAAACATTTTGTATGTTAACTAAAAATCATTATAATCATAAAAAAGATGAAGCACTAATCTCCCCAAATTGTGTGTGTGTGTGTGTGTGTGTGTGAGTGATTTTAACAGAACTTAGGGTTTTGTGCATGCTAGGCAGTCACTCCACCACTGAGCTATAGAATTAGCAGGGAGGGACAGTAGTGGTTTTTTTTTTTTTTTTTTGGTTTTTCAAGACAGGGTTTCTCTGTGTATCCCTGGCTATCCTGGAACTCACTCTGTAGACCCGGCTGGCCTCGAACTCAGAAATCCACCTGCCTCTGCCTCCCAAGTGCTGGGATTAAAGGTGTGCGCTACCACCGCCCGGCTGACAGTAATGTTTTTAATACACTACTATTTGCCTCAATACCAGAGCTCTTAGTTAAGTGTTGTTTGTCCATTTTACAAATGAACATGATCTCTGTCTCCTGGTATAGAAAGTCTATCTAGAATCTCCAAAGTAGGTGGGAAGTCTGGGGCTCAGAACTGATGTTCTGGTTGCTTTGAACTCGGTGCTATTGTGAGGACAGCATCTGCTTTTGTCCTCAGCTGAAGTTAGATCCCAGTTACTGACAGGGCCCATGGAAAATTGTCTCAAATAAGTTTCACCACAGATTTAATATTAAGTGATAGCAAATATATATAATTTAAAGACCACCTACACAGTAATATTAAAAATACTTGACTGGAAAAATGTTATGTTTCTTTCTTGTAATGAAGGTGATTAGTTCTAATTAGTTTAGCCAACAGGATTGCTCAGTGGCTCTTTACCTTTGCACTCACTGCCATACTTGGTGGACTGAGCTTCCTTCCTCAGTACCACACTGTGGAAGGACAGGTCAGACTCCAGCTGTTCACAGGCGCACCCTGGCAAGTACAAGCCCCCACCCTACATGCACATACAAACACAAATCAGTACAATTTAAAATTTATACTTTGCTTACTGAATAAATTGTAGCTTAACCTTCATATAGAGCATGAAGCTTTCGTTTTTCTATTTTTAGAGAAGTAGGTGTTGGGGTTTAGAGTGTCACTCGGTGGTAGGGTAGATACTTGGCATGCCTAAGCCCCCATTCTCAGCACTCCTTCTCCCCCACAGAAATGAAGACCACATTATAGATCCATGAAAATATCATAATAACTCCAATTATGTAAAATTAGTATATGCTAATAAAACTGAAAGATGAAGAGATGATGAATTGGTTTGTTATAATATGTCAATGCATACATCTGCCTCAAGTCTTTAATACTGTCTCCCAGCAGAGCCGCCTTAGATGTTTTTCCTACTTACTCCATCCTGCCTGAAATGTTAATGCTACATATTTATCACATATAATAATATATGTGCATATATATACATATGTATGTCTGTGATTTATATAAGAAAAGAATAAATTGTCTCCACTAACCAAGAGTCAGTTTTTTCCCTCCAGTTGAGATTCCTTAGTATATGTGGTAGCTCCTATGTGCTAGCAATCTGTGGAAAGCATCTTCTATAGCTTTTAGCTTTTGGCTCCCATGTCAAAACTTACTTGTGCGTATATTTCTTTATTAGTTTTTCAGACTTGCTTTGCACTCATTGGAGAAAAGGGTGTGACATGGGACATCATCAAACTGCAGATCAACATGTACACAGCACCAGTTTTACTTGCAGCCTTCCTGGGAATTCTAAACATTATTCTGATTCTTTTTATATTGAGGTAACTACATAGAAATGATAAGCTATGTTTGTAGATTCTAAAGGTTAACAAACCTTGTTATTACTGAAGGATAGTTATTCCTATGAAGTCTTTTTGTGTGTGTAGTGCTGGGGATTGAACCTTGGCCCTCAAACATGCTAAACAAGCCCTCTACCACTACTCTGTACCTTCCAAGCCCTAGTCCCCTTTATAAAGATGTACTTTTATGTTTTTAAGTGTTTGCCTACATGTATATATGTGCGCCACATGCATGCAGTGCCTTCAGGTCACCTTGAACTGGAGTGGCACAGTTAGGCTTCAGGAACCAAACCTGGGTCCTCTGCAAGAGCAGCAAGTGCTTTTAGCTGCCGAAGCTCCTCTCTAGCCATTTTTACTTTTTAATAGAGTGTCCTGCTAAGTTTTCTAATCCTGTGAGTACCAGGCAGACCTTCCATTTGCAATCTCCTGCATTAGCCTCCAGGTAGCTGAGATTACAGGCCTGAGCTGTGAGGCCTGGTCCTATGAGTTCTTTATGTTTTGCTCTCTATAGATGGGGTCAGTTTTTGATCAGTTAAAGCATGTTGTATTGGCAATCTCAGTAATAAGACAGATTAGGAACAAACACAATTAGGAAGATCTATTCTTGATTTATTAACTATAAGTTTCTAAGAATGGAAATGGTATTTCATTTTCTAAAACTAGTATCATTACTTTGTATTTCTTGTTTTTAGTTTTTAGAGAATGTCTTACTGTGTGGCCAAGGCTACTTGAGAACTTAGGTTTCTCTTGTGTTAGCCTCTGAAGTGTTGGAATTATAGGTGTATGTTACCAAATGTGGCATTGTTACATTAAATTTTCTTAGAGTGCTTCTTTCAATTTTCCAAAACCACTTATAGCTAATTTTTAAAACATTGAAAATTTCAAATATGTACTAAGGTAAATCATGTATACGTCTCAATAAATTTTGAAAACGTCTTATATGATGATATGTGGTCTTCCTGATCAGGAGAGTGAGGCCAGAGGATTACATGATCCCAGGTGTTTGATAGCTGGACAACAGGGCCTTTCCTCATCAACGCTCACACTAGAGATATAGCTCAACGCTATGGCTTACTTGTGCAGCATGTGTAAGGCCCTGTGCTTCACGCACAGTACTGAAAAAAAAAAGATATGTTTAGGATTACTGGTTATATTTATTAGTAAATCACTAATAACCCTATTTCTCAGAAGACAATAAGAGAAACTATGTCTGACTATGGAAAGTATAGAGTGTTGATAAGCAAACTGCTTCTGAATTATGGTCTTGTTAATACTTGTGCTGTTCTTTTTAAGAGAGCATCGTGTGGATGACTTGGGACGTCAGTGTAAGAGTGTGAATTTTCGAGAAGGTACTGTTAGCCTGTGTGGCACCACCTGAGTATCCTGATTCTGTTTGCTTGGTATTCACATGGCTTTTGCCCCTAAGCACAATACAGTGGGTGGCTGGGGTATATTTTCAAAGGTAAAAGAAATGTACATTAATTTACTTAAACAAACCTGTACCTTTCTGTTATGTGGTGTTTATGACTGGCAAGACTGAAGCCATTGCTAAAGATCACTTGTCTTTTTCAAAGAGCTGGTGTCCTAAAACCCTTGTATTCCTTGCCATGCTTCTGGTAACTCTGGTACAACTTCTGTCTCAAGCAGTTTTTGTTGTTGTTTTGAAACAGTCTCTCATTATGTAACTCAGGCTGACCTTGAAAATGACATGCTTGAGACCAGGCTGGCCTATGACTTGAGATCTTCTGCCTCAGCACTGAGGTCACAGTTGTACTACACCTGGCCCCCAGCAGTTCCCAGTACTTTAATCACAACAGTAGGCATTCTATTACTTTGTAAATGTGCATCTTCATCATTTATTTTGTGGTGTGTGGTGTACGCATGTGTATGTGTGCAGATGCGTTTGCCCATGTGGGTGCACACAGAGGTCAGAGGTCTATATTAGATATTTGCCTTGTTTGTGCTCTACCTTATCTTCTGAGTCAGAGTCCCTCACTGACCTAAGCTTGCCATTTTGGATAGAACGGTTTGTTAGTGAGCTCACAAAGTCCACCTGTCTCTGTCGCCAGTGCTGGGTTAGTAGTTCGAACTACCACACCTGTCTCTGTCACCAGTGCTGGGTTCACACCACCACACCTGAGTTTCCTGTGGACCTGGGGTCCTGAACTGAGATCTTCATGGTGGCACAGCAGACACTTCACCAGTCTTTCCAACCCAGTTCTTTATACCCAGCTGCAGGAAACTAACCACATATGTTGGAAATTTTACTCTGACTTGAGCAGCATTTATACTTGACTCAAAGAAGTCAAGACAGGCTCTGGGTAGTAACTAAGAATTAGAAAGGTGTTCCCCAGATAGGACGAGGGTCGGAAGAGCTAAGGACTGCTTCTGTGGAAGGATCCCAATGAAGGTGACAGTACTCTTGGTGTGACTGGAAAGAAAAGTCAGAAGTGACTCCTATAAATACTGTAGACCATTTCTAAACCTCCATTCTCCTGAGATAGAAAGGCAGGCACCATTACAGAAACTTACATTTGCTCTCTATGGCTTTCCCTGAAGAAAGCTATACTATGCTTCTCCCTTGCCAACACACACCACACACACTCACACGCACACAGTGTGTCTCTTCCTGTGTTATTTACGTCATCTGCACTGAGTAACAGCATGAGGAATAGATGTCCTTGGACTTATATGACTGTGTGTGTAACTTTGAAGCTGTGTTAGGAATCGTGAATACACGATTTAATCGCATAGTTCAAGGTGAGAAATTGTGCTTTGCCCTCTAACGTTACTGCCATGCAAAGATACAAATGATTTTTATTTTTGAGATGGGTTTTGTCATATGCTCAGGCTGGCCTTCAACTCATGATTCTGCTGCTTAAGCCTCCTGAGTACAGGGGCAACAGTGTATATCACCAACCCTTGCATTATCATAACTTTTAATTAATATATTCTTAGACAGTTTAATATATGTACACAACATATACTGACTACCCTCATTCCCACCCATCTCTGGTCTTCCTGCCACCCCTGCTCACCCCTTCTCCCCACAAGTCTAACATAACTTTTTTAATAACAGGGAAGTAAAATTAAACATTTTAAAATTATGTTTATTTTGTGTATATGACATGCTGTACTTCGGGAGTCTACTCCTGAAGAGAGACTCTACTCTCACCACACAGGTCAGGGGTCAAACTCCAGACCCTACTTGCTGGAAGGGCCTTTTGCCATTGAGCCGTCTTGCTGGTCCCAAAAGAAAGACTTTTACTAGCACTAATTTCATATAGTGTTGAAATTAAAAAAGCCATTGAAATGTACCAAAGAACTGGGAACTTGTTTAATGAAGTACTGGTAGAACTTAATAAAATCATTGTAAATTTAAATTTTAGATTAAGTAGAAAAATTGGTACCTGGAACTGAAAGCAAATGCATTTTTCATGAAGTCTACAAAATGCACACTTGGATTGGGAGATACCAATTGGAGAGACATAAGCTAGCCTGAGTAATTCTTGCAGACAGTGGACTCCAGTGTGCTTCCTGAAGAGTAGCCAAATTACTTTAAATACCATTGAAGACTCCTTACTCTCTGAGCCCTGTTCCCCCACTGCCACCCACCACCCCCTACCCGGCCCATCCGGCCTTGGTGTCCCAAGTCCTGGGATTACAGGTGTGAGCCAGCTAAGAATTTCCTATTACTTTACCATCATGTGAAAGTTAGATATATAGCTAATTCTGCTTTTCTCCTATTATTAGAAAATACAGATGAACTTCAGATTCCTGAAGGAAGTATTGATCAAGTTGCTGTTGTGGCTACCAATATTGTCTTTTTTGTGGTTTTGTTTATCTTTGCCGTTTATGAAACGTAAGTTTTATTCTATCTTTATTTAAATCAGATTACTTACTAATCCATGTTTCTCAATGCACTCTTAATTATGCACAGATTTTGTTTTTTAAAAACGTATGTAAGATCCAGGCAATGGTAGTGCACACATTTGATTTCAGCACTCAGGAGGAAAGACACGGGAGGTAACTGGCTTAAACATTTTTTTTAGATTTATTATTTATTTATTTATTTATTTATTTATTTATTTATTATATATGAATACACTGTAGCTGTCTTCAGACACACCAGAAGAGGGCATCAGATCTCATTACAGATGGTTGTGAGCCACCATGTGGTTGCTGGGATTTGAACTCAGGACCTCTGGAAGTGCAGTCAGTGCTCTTAACCGCTGAGCCATCTCTCCAGCCCTTTTATTTTTTTAAAATATGTTATGTGTTTTTCCTGCATGTATATATGCACACCATATGTATGCATGATGCCAGTGAAGGTCAGAAGAGAGCATCAGTCCTCTCTGAAAATGGAATCGTAGATGGTTGTGAACCACCATGTGGTGCTTAGAACCAAACCTGGGTCCTCTGTAAGAGCAGCTAGTTCTCTTAACCTCTGAGCTATCTTTTCAAACTGTTTTTGAAAAGTTGAATACAGTGGCATTAAGTATGGTCACAACTTTGTGAACCTATGACAAGAACCTTGCCATCATCTCAAACAAGCTGTTTATCTTTTCACAGTTACCTCCCTTGTCTTTCCCCAGCTCCTAATGACCTGTAAGGTACCTCATAGAAGTTACACCATGCAGCATTTTAGTTTTACACACCTCAGTTCATTGAGTGTGAGGTGTTGCGGGTTCTTCTTGTCACAGTGTATCAGATTTTCCTAACGTCTTATGGCAGGTGCCAGCTCCTTTAGCTGTCTGTTCATGTGCTGGTGAGAGCTTTGTTGGCACCATGCAGCGGTGGTGAGTGATGCTGCTGTGCAAGTGTCTGCTTGAGTTCTAGCCTTTTGTTCTTGGTTCTGCACCTGAGAGGAATGGCTAGGTACATGTTAACGGTGTAGCCCTTGGAGAAACCATGCATCTGCTCTCTGTATCAGCTCATCTGAATTCAAAGGTTAAGACACTATATTCATCTTTGTAATAAAACATTTAAAATATAAATTGTTTTGTTATCAGCCAACAGAAGATGGTATAATATAGAGATAGACTTGGCAAGGAAGGAGAAAGCCATATGAAGGCAGAGGTGCTCATAGGGAGGGAAAGAAACACAGTAAGTGCTACTGATAGAAAGAAAACTCTAATGATAGTGTAACAATGCGACATTACTGGTGACATGCACACTTTTAATAACGGGAAAAATCTAGAAAATACACTCCCAGCAAAACTGAAATACATTTCTGATTTTGAAAAAGGTGTCAATGTAAAATTTCCCTTTGTACAAGCTCCTTACAGGGAATAGTGGTCCCTCTGTAGACATAATGTTCCACAGAGAAGCCTGTCAGTCATCCAGAGTCCTATCCTTAAAGCTAAATCCTTAAAGCACCACCAAGAGTAAAGATCAGTTTCAACCATAGTGTAGCTATGAACCATTGCTGGGAGGAGGGTAGGGTTGTAATTGATTTATGTTGTCTTCTGTTTGCAAGCCTTCTTCAGTGTAACTGTGTTCCTTATTTAAATGGCCGCATATTCTTAAAGGTATTATTATTAATGTTTACATTAATAATTCTTAGTTAACAACTGCCTTTTAAATACACATGGCCTTCTCTTCTTAGAATCCTCACTCCATTAACGATGGACATGTATGCCTGGACCCAGGAGCAGGCTGTGCTCTATGATGGAATAATCCTTATTGCTTTTGGAGTTGAGGCTGTTCTTGTTTTCATGGGGGTTAAATTACTTTCCAAAAAGTAAGTTAAATGTTTTTACTTTACTTTAAATCTTCTTTGGAAAAAAAAAAGATACCGCCGGGCGGTGGTGGTGCACGCCTTTAATCCCAGCACTCGGGAGGCAGAAGCAGGTAGATTTCTGAGTTCGAGGCCAGCCTGGTCTACAGAGTGAGTTCCAGGAGAGCCAGGGCTACACAGAGAAACCCTGTCTCAAAAAACAAACAAAAAAAAAAAAAGAAAAAGAAAAACCAGATAACATGAAGCAGAGCTAATAAAGCCACTTCCAAGTTTTTTTCTCATGTGTTTGCTTTGTTTTTCCTGTTTTTGCTAAGATGGGGTATTAGTATATAGCCTTGGCTAGCCTGGAATTCACTGACTAGATCTATAGACCTGACTAGCCTGGGATTCATAGGTCAGCCTGCTTCTGCCTTTTGAGTGCAGGGATTAAGGGCATACACTACCATGCTTAGCTGTATTATAGTTCTTCAAAGTTTGCAAAACGATGTAAACTCTATTGAGCGTTACTTTTATATTTTTATATTCTATTGCACCACTTTAGTAAAGCAAATGCCTTACCAAGTAAATAACTGCATACTAATCTATTGTTATATCATTTTTAATGTATATTACTAAAAGTGTTTTTCAAAAACCATTGTCTTGCTATATTAAATGAATAAGTTTGGAAAATTCTGGTTATTAAAGCCTCTATTGATGGCTGAGACAATAGGACCATGAGTCTCTACACGCTACATATTGAGACCATGTCTCAAAGAACAGACTGAATTTACATAGATTGTGTGCGTGTGTGTTTTGTGTTATTGAGGCAGGATCTCATATACCCTGGCTAACCTTGAATTCCTGATTCTCCTGCATCTACTGCCCAGGCACTGGGATTATAGGATTTTAGAACTTCTAATCAGGTCTTCAGCTTATAAACAACATATTTTCTTTTTTCTTTTTTTTTTTTTTTGGTTTTTCGAGACAGGGTTTCTCTGTGTAGCCCTGGCTGTCCTGGAACTCACTCTGTAGACCAGGCTAGCCTCGAACTCTCGAACTCAGAAATCCGCCTGCCTCTGCCTCCCAAGTGCTGGGATTAAAGGCGTGCGCCACCACCGCCCGGCCATCAACATATTTTCACTGTACCAAATACAATTACTATTTCTCAAAGTTATCTGACCATATAACTTTTTGTATATGTGGTGCTAGGAGTTGAACTTGGGGCCTCAAATATGCTAGACAAATGTTTAACACTATATTCCCAGCCCCTAAGTAACTCTTTTAAAAGAATAATTTTCTGAAAGTAACTATTACAAACCCAGTGTGTGAGGAATACGGGAATGCATGTATAAATTGAGTTCTGTCATGTAGTTTGTTTTTCTCTCTGAGTGCTGGGAATTGAACCCAGGCATCATGCATGCTAGGCAAGCAGTCTACCACTGAGCTATATATCCCCAGCATGTCTTACAGCTGAACACCAGTTATTAGCTCATGGACAGCTTTAATGGTATATTCTTAAACTACTGGTTGAAAATGAGCATAAGCATAAATAGGTATGATTATTTCTGATACTGGCTGAGTCTCTTTCCCCTAATAGTTACTGACAAGCTCTACTTTCTATAGGAAAAGATAAATACATTTATCTTCTAGAATTTCATCCCCCTAATCTGAAATCAGCAGTTTATTAGATAAGTCTATTTTTTTTCTAAGACAGTCTCACTGTGTAGCTCAGGCTGGCTGTAACTCCCTACCACCTTCTGCCCTGTTATCTGGATGCTGGGGCTACAGTGTACACTTCCATGCCTGGTGCTGGCTGCTTTTAGTGGGGTATTTTATATAGCATTACAATAATTCATAAATATAATAAACTGTATAACAATGTCACTTACATTTTTTTAGTTATAGTAATCAAATTGTGTATTCACATTTCATTTCAAAATCAGTTTCTGTTTCACAGGATTGGCGAACGTGCTATTCTCCTGGGAGGATTTGTGGTCGTATGGGTCGGCTTCTTTATCTTGTTACCCTGGGGAAATCAGTTTCCCAAAATACAGTGGGAAGGTATGGTGACTTCAATTCTTTAGCACCAGCTCCTACATTCTTTAGAAGTAGCAAGTGATACCTTGCCCTATTTTTATTTTACAGATTTACACAACAGCTCAACCCCTAATACTACATTTGGGGAAATTATTATTGATCTTTGGAATTCTCCAAGAGAAGATCACAGTGAACAGCCAACTGGGTGTCCAATTGAACAGGCCTGGTGCCTATACACCCCAGTGATTCATCTGGCCCAGTTCCTGATAGCTGCTGTGCTAGTTGGAATAGGCTATCCAGCCTGCAGTGTCATGTCCTATACATTATACTCAAAAATTCTAGGACCCAAACCTCAGGTAACCCAGCACTGCAGCTGAGAATTATAGTCTCCACATTTCCTTTTGCTATAGTTCTTACACAAGCTGGCTTAGTAGGCTTTGGGGGAGGGGTAGAATTTTAGACAGGCTCAGGGACTTGAGCTCACTCATTCCTTGCAGGTCTGAACTTAGGTTCTACCTCTGTCTGCATCCCTCCACAAATTTGTAATGTGTTTGGTAAGAATTATCTGGTGAAAGATTAACATTGCTAAATCAGAACTCAGATGTCAAAATAATTTTCATTGAAAAAAATCTCTGCACTTTAAATTTCTAAAACTCATTCTTAAGTAGACAGAAGAAAACCAAAATTGGCAGCCAAATTGGATTTAGACAATTACAAAGAATGAAAACATAATAGTCTTATACGGTTGTGCTACACTGAGATCTATCTGTATTTTAAGTTTAACTGTTTTGTGGTGCTAGGATTGGATCCAAGGCTTCGTACATGTTAGGCTAGTGCTCTACCACTGAGCTAAAGGCCTGCTTTAAAATTAATTTCTAAGTAGGAATGTCAGGGGACGAGCTGGGCATGATTATACACATCTTAGCACTCAGGAGGCCAAGGCTGGAAAATCACTCCAAGTTCAAGACCAACCTGTTTTACATAGTGAGGTCCAGGACAGCCAGGGCTATATATTGAGATTTAGTCTCAAAAATAAACAACATAAAGACACACACACACACACACAAAATCCATAGGCTAGAAATATAGCTCAACAGTACAGCCTTTATCCTGGAATGAGTGACATCCTAGGTTTGATCCCCACACGTGCACACACACATGCTCACACACCAAGTAACTTCTGTATTCATTATATAAAATTAAAAATATATAGATGCAATGTGAGTAAGTTTTGATAGAGGACATAACTATTAAGTGTTTTAATGAAGTCAGGCTCCATTTTCAGCCTCTTCTTTATGACTATGTAATGGGTTTATGCAATTAAGGGGTCTATCATGGATTCTTTAAGAGGTTTACTTAGAGTGAAATGCTGTACTTCATTTTATATATAATCACATATTCATAATCGTATTGTTTATTTTCTGTATGTTTCAAACTCTTCTTTTTAATGGCAGTTATTTATGTACTTTTGAAGACTTATTTTATGTATATGAGTACACTGTAGTTATCTTCAGACACACCAGAAGAGGGCATCAGATCCCATTACAGATGGTTGTGAGCCACCATGTAGTTGCTAGGAATTGAACTCAGGACCTCTGGAAGAGCAGCCGCTGAGCCATCTCTCCAGCCCCTCCCCTACTCCCCCCCCCCCTTTGGTGGCAGATATTCAAATGGCTCCAAATTATCTTACTCTTTAAAAATTATACTGAGCTGGCTATCTGACACATGCTTATAATTCTAGCATTTCTGAGGCAGAAGCAGGAAGATCTCAAATTTCAGACCAGCCAATTCTCCCTGGTGACTCTTAGGCAAACCTAGACTATACAGTAAGATCATCTTTAAAAGGCAAACTAAGGGAATGGAGACATGGCTCAGTGTGCTTACTGCTCTTCTAGAGAACTGGAGTTGAAGTCCTAGCAGCCATATCAGGTGGCTTGTGTGACCTGTGACTCCAGCTGAAAGCGATCTAATACCTTCTTCAGACCACCACAACTGCCTGTACACACACACACACACACACACACACACACACACACACACACACACACGTCTACTACCAGCACTCCCTGGCCCAGAACTCAGTATATAGGCTAGGCTGGTTGCTGCCTGGGGGAACCCAAGGGCTCTGCTTGTCTCTGAACTTGCCAGCTCTGGGGTTCCAAGCACATGCTACCATGCTTCATTTTGTTGTTCTTAGTATTTGTTGAGCATCCACACAATGCATTTTTATCATATTTACCCTATTCCCACCCCAGACCTCCCAGATGCACCTCCACACGCTCAGCTTAATTTCAGTTTTGGGGACTGAACTCGGGCATTTGAACTTAAGAGAAACACTACCAATTCACTGAGCCGCTTCTTCAGCCCAGATCAGCTGAGACAGGGTCCTGTCACGAAGCCTGAACTGGTGATCCTCCTGCCTCTACTTCCATGTGCTAGGCTACAGGCCTATAGCACCATACCGTTTATTTGCTGTATTCAGAGACATTTCAAAGAGGAGAGGAGGTAGTTGATTGTAAGCTTGTTTTTATTTTGCAATAACTGAACCTGAATTAATCTGTTGTCCTGTCTTTCCCACCACAGGGTATATACATGGGCTGGTTAACCACTTCTGGAAGTGCAGCACGGATTCTTGGGCCTGTGTTCATCAGCCATGTGTACACTTACTTGGGCCCACGATGGGCAGTCAGCCTTGTGTGTGGAATAGTAGTGCTCACCATCTTGCTAATAGGAGCCGTTTACAAAAGACTCATTGCTTTTTCTGTCAGATACGGGAGGATCCAGGAGTAAGTTAGCAGTCTGTGCTGGGTACTTGCTGCCTACTGTCTTCACCTCAACAGTGAGTAACTTGACTTTGAATGGTAGATGTATAAAAACATTCTGGCTCAAAATCTCCTTATCAAAGGTGAACTATTTTTCATATCATACCTTACTGGAGTCCCATGAACTCAACAGTGAATGGATAATGGTCTGTAGGTATGAAACTATACTCAATGTGAACTACAGGGCTCTGTCTAAAGCACTGGAATATGCAATGGAACTGGACAAAATTCTGTATTAAACTAGAGTACATTTAGTCTAAACAATGTTTTTTTTTTTTTTTTTTTTTAACCAGTGGTGGTGCACACCTTTAATCCCAGCACTTGGGAGGCAGAGGCAGGAGGATTTCTGAGTTCGAGGCCAGCCTGGTCTACAGAGTGAGTTCCAGGACAGCCAGAGCTATACAGAGAAACCTTGTCTCGAAAAACCAAAAAACATAACAAAACAAAAACAAACAAAAAACCAAAAACCCATAATGTTTCGTTTTTTAAACTAAACAAAAATATTTTTTCATTAAAGGTTTTTTTTTTTTTTAATGAAAATGCATTATTCAGCTTCCTAATGAAATAAAACTGAGCCTTAAATTGTTACAGCCTGCCCACAACCAGATTAGGCTTTAGTTTTTCTTTCCTGCCCAGGGTGAATCTATTCTATTACCTCCCCCTCAACACTTGTAATCCAAACATTGTAACTGTCTATTTTGATTTTGACTCTAACCTATGAGCAAGAGTAATGCTAATGTCTGAGGAGTAAAAAGGTTAAAGAGACAAGGTGGTCTTTACTACCTTTAGAAGGACTACCTTCTTTCAAGCGCTAGTAAATTCATATTAGAAACGTAAGTTAAATGTGTTTTTTAAAAAATATGGTATTAATAGCAAGTGGATTCCTAAAATTACTATTTTTCAAGTCCTTTAAACTCTAGTGCAAACTCTGACCTTTTAATGCCCCTTGTCAGTAATGACAGAGAACAGCTGTTTGCAACCTGTCTGTAGACCCATTCACAGCAGCAGAACTGCAGTTGGACCATGGATGCTCTGACGTCTCAAATGATCGGGTGGGGACTTGTAACAGAATGGCCAAAGGTGACTAATCAAACTACATAATTTCTACCTCTGTGTGAATGGAATACTGGAATGTGTATGGGACTCTCTGCAAAACATGCGAAGTGTTTTCCTGTTTTGTTACTATGGTTTCAACGGTCTTCTGAAGCTATCAGCACTAAATGATGGCAGGCAGCATTTTGCTTCAGTTTCTGTTTTGTCAGGCCCTGGATGTCCTCTTACCTGCTATTCTGTATTTTTTTTCATCTTTTGGGTCAGTGCTGACCTTAAATTCCACCTTTGTGTGGTATGCCCAGAGACAAAATAATAACCCGTGAGAATAAGAGCACTCCAATGTTCCTGTTTAATACACAGTAGTTTCTCACAGCAAGCTTAGAGCTGAAGATAAGATCCTGATCTGTGATACATATGAATAAAGTATACAAGTCACTTGTCTTCCAGAGGCTACCTCATGACTGCTGCACTTTCTCAGAACAGGAAAATTGACCTGAACACTAACAGTGAGTTGGTTAGCTGTGACTTTCCACTTGTGACTTAGATTTGCAAAAATATTTGGGAAAAAAATTGAAGTGCACTAAGTCAAGAAGCCTTTTTCTTAGCATAAATGTTCCCAGCAAGAACATGACAGACATTTCCCAGCCCTAGAATTCTAATACTGCAATTCAGAAAACTACAACCCAGCAAAGTGACTGCACCTTCTTTTTTACTGAGGCACTTGCATCCTGGGAGATTAGACTAACATCACCTCGTTACCAGAGGGCAGTGAGAGGTGTAGGGGAGAAGCTGGGAGATAAAACTGTTACTAGTGTATATTAAAGAAGGAGTGAAAAAAAGAGTAAAAAGGGGAGATGGTTTTATTTTTGAAAATCTAGCAAAGGATTATTTTCTTATTTTGAATGTATTGTCACTTCATAAAGCATCTCTAGCCTTTATGTTTCTCTATTTAAAAATAAACAAGCTCTTTTCTCGTATGAAAATGAAATAAACTTGTGATTTTTAATTTAATGAAGATAAACTACTATTTGGATCTGACTACCATTTACTGTTGAAGATTTATTTGTAACTTTATTACATTTAAGTATTCATTTCAAATAAAACAAGACTGTAAGAATTTTTAATCTGTCATTTTCAGTATATATGAAGAGGACCTGAATACATGCTTATTCCCACGTACTTGTTGAGACATGAGCGGTAACTGCTAAGTTCACATTCCATCAGGAACCTCAGACACTAAGTAGCTGGTACAGATACTTATGGTTGGCTATGAGAAGGGTGATAGACAAGGAAGCAGAGGCAAGTGGATCTTTGTACGTTCAAGGACAGCCTGGTCTACAGAGAGTTTTAGGACAGCCAAAGCTACACAAAAGAAACCCTGTCTAGAAGAAACAAACCAACCAACCAAAGACAAACAAGTATAGAGTCCAGAGGAACGCAACATGAAGAAAAGCATTAGGAAATTTCTCTAAGAAGAGAAGGGTTTGTCAGAACTTGGTGTAAGAGCATGACTGGACTGCGAAAGGGTGGGACAAGTGTACTGAGGCAGAAGGCAGGGCTTGCAAACAACCTAGAGGTAAGACATTTTGGGAGGTTCCTTAGAACTTAAATCAGGTCCAAAGTGGCTGAGTGACTGAAAAGTCCTATTAATTCAATCTGGACTCTTCAATTAATTCAAGGTCCTCATTATAAAGGAAATATGAACTGTATATCTCAATACATTTCTGAATTTCTGCATAAGTGAGATGATAAGCCTCAGTGACAATGTCTAACACTTATAAGATTAAAACTCAACTTTTAAAGTGGTTTGGAAGTTTAGTGTGCTTACAGCTCTTGTAGTAGACTCAGAACCAACATAACATGGTGGCTTACAACTGCCTGTACCTCAGATCCAGGGTGTTGTCTGATGTCTTCTGACCGTAATAGGTGGAATAAGGTTTCTTACAAAAGGTGCCTATATGGGCAGAGTAGGAGGAGCTGCTAACAAAGTTCTTCCCTCTTGACCAATACCCATCTGAGCAAGGCAGAGAGGCCTGTACAGGTTAATAGCCTTGCTCTGCCCAGATGGATGTTTTGTCTGAGTGCCCAGCAGCCAGTCTCTTATCACCCAATCCCCTTCAGGACCCATGTCTGTCTGCGCCCAGGGCACTCTTCTCTCCTGGGTGAGGCAGAAACTCCTAGTAGAGGGAAGATGGAAAAGATTGCCTGTAGGTTAAATCAATAAAAGCCTGGCCTCAAAAGGGGGTGTGGGGTCTTCCTAAAAAAGAAGAAAAAGAATGAATTTATAGTAACTTATCTAATATTTAAAACAAGTATTTAATCAATAAACCAAGTTAAGGAAAACTTACCACTGTGTTTATTTTATAAAATGTATTTGCAGAAATTTTATCAGACACAAGTGCTATAAAAATAAATATAAAATATACACTTTTACATATTGCTTATACATACATTATTTACATATTCAAAGTTTCAAAACTATAGCATGTTTTGTCCATGATTCTCAATGTCTTATTAGTAAAGAAAATAACAAAAACAAACAAGCCATACACAACTTAGTTCAATACAAACATAGGAGCACAAAGTTCGAAGGAATACATGCTTGGAGCAAAATTAGATGTCCTCGCTTTATGACTATATTTGGTAACTAAAATTTTATTGTTTTCTTAGTATATTTTTTATGGTGTAGATTAAAATTCTGTTTAGTAGAAAGGCTTTCTGAAGTTAAAGTAAATTAAACAAAATCACTTACTTGAAAGCCAACCAAAAAGTCATTTATTAAATATAGACATCTGAGACTTAAATTACTGAAAACTAGGAGTTGGATTAGAAAACATCAGAAGGATGGAAGAAAGACATTGCAATTTCTGTTTGATGTATTCAGGTAATTTTTCATTTTCTCCATACCTAAGCAGAAAAACAGACAGAACTTCCATTACTTGGACCTTAATACTAAAAAGCACATTTCCCAGTAATCCTTTAATGACAAGAGATACATCAAGAAAACAATAAATACACTTACTAGGATTCCTAATCAACTGAAGCATGCCCACTTTGTTTCTTTCAAAAACATAACACTTTTGTTTGGTAGTTGTGTACAAGCATAGTTTTGTTTTTTAAACCAATACTTTGATCTGTCATTAGTTGAATACTCAGAGACAGCACCTGGGAGGACTAGTATGGTCTTCAAAACTGTCAGTGCTGGGTTGTACGATTCAGTTACAGAGGGCTTACATAGCACCCACAAGGCCTGAGGTTCAATGCTTAGCATAAATAAAAACCAAATTGTTAACAAGGCTTTTAAAAGACACTATTTTTATCTGGGAAAAAATAACCAAGTTTATTTAGTTACTTTAGACTTTTTTGGAGACAGGGTCTCATATAACCCAGGTTGGATGGTTATGTAGCCAAGGGTAATCTCAGAGTCCTGTTAACCGTGTGTGTGCACTACCACATCCAGCCAGAGGTCAGTGTCAATTATCTTCTTCGATCACTTCCCACCTTTTAGTTTCAGACAGTGTTGTTCAGAGAAACTGGAGTTCACCTATTTGACTAGATTGGGTAGCCAGTGAGCCAAGGATCCTCTTGTCTCCAGTTCCCTAGTATGGTACACACTGCCTTGCCTTGCCTTTTTCATGGGTGCTGGGGCTCTGAACAAATGTCCTCCTGCCTGCAAAGCAAACACTTAAGCAACTGTGCCATCTCTTCAGTCCTCCATGTCCTTTTGTGTTTATGTTCTGAGACAGAGTCTCACTGTATAGCCCCTAGCTGGCCTGAAAGTCTTTATGTAGATCAGGCTGGCTTTGAACTCACAAAAATCTACCTAAAGTTCTGGAATTAAAGGTATATACTACCACACCTGGCCCCTCCATGTTCTTTCAAGTAAATAATTTATTTTACTTTCATAAGTCCATTCTGAAAAGAGTCAACCTAATTAGGTCATTAAATAATAAGGGTTACAAAGAAATCCTATCACTTGAGTTGATTATGGGTAGATTATTCTTGTAATCACAACATTTATATTAAAGGCTATGAACAGTTAAAAATAATGAACAGTATAAGTAAATTATTGAAATATTATGTTTATTAAGTCATTTATTTCAAGTACAAAGAAAGCAAAATGAGAGCAAGCACTGAATCCAGCCCGTGCTGTAAGAGCTTACCTAGTTGTCTGACCGTCTGGTGATGTGTAACTGATGGAAGA